ATATCATCAAATTGTCCACGTAGGTTGAAATCACGTTCATCTTCATCTTCAGGTTCATAGTCCTGATCAAAGGCTTCCTCTAAGTAACCTTGTTCCGTGTCATCCACTCCTGCGATTTGATCGCCATCTTGAAATTGTTAGAAGTAAGCGATCCACTGCCGCCTGCAATCTACCTGTTCAATTGACTGCAATTTAGCTGTCCAGGTATTGTTGCCTTCTAAGTATGTGAATTTACAGTATATAGAAGTATATAGATCAATCAGAGATCCTACTTTGTCAACCAATTCACTCGTTGCTTGTGATATATTATATAAAGTGAGAACAATCTGTCAACTTTTGACTTTGACTCTTTCTTCTCCAGCTCAGTGGAAATTCTCAGAATTCTCTCTACGTCAGCTTGATATGCTGCAAGTTCAATCTGCTTATTCGTTCACCTTCCACTGTAGTCGGTAGTTTGATTAGTATCCAACTTTGGTTCTTGCTTGAATCTTGATTTCTTACATCATCAACAGGATGATTTCCATGGAAATATGATCCTTTTTCTGACTCGCCACGCTCGATATTTTTAGTCGCATCAGTCTTCATTTTTAGTCGTATCAGTCGACGTCATTTCTCTATCGTTCACATGCATTCTCTTTTTCTCGTTTCTCCAAATATGTACTTCGAAAAACCTAATATATCCAACACACTCCTGCCGTTTCATTAACATGTTGATGACAACGGAACATCAAAGGAAATTGCGTTGCTCCTAATCTTGTTCTCCTTGGATCAATGATCTGAATTCCAAGAATTTTTGTCCCTGTAGAGGTTTGCTCATGAAATCTCCCCACATCTTTTCAGTTGGACAATATTCAATAGTCACATTTCCTTTCTTGACTTGATCAGTCATAAAGAAATATCAAATGTTGAAAGCTTGGCTTCGCTTTCCGGCCCTATCACGTCCATTCTTTTCCAATAGAATAGAACTCTTGTTATCCTGATATAGGATGTTCTCTTCAACAGGATATCCTTGTGCTTCCACAAACAATTTTGTCCACAATATCTGTGTCGCAGCATCATCGACACCAATCAATTCGGCTTCTGTCAAACTTTGACTGTTCAACTTCTGCTTCTTCAAGATTATTTGTCATCCTCCTTCACCCATAGTCAATACACCTCCAGTGTGACTTCTGAAATCTGGATGAACTGCAAATGATGCATCAATATACCATTTGAAAGTTCGTAAATCTTTTGCACTCAGCGTCAGGTGCATTCCCTTTGTTCCATTCAGATAATACATCAGCTTCACTAGCTTCTTCCAATCAGTTTCATTTGGTTTCTGTACTCTTGTAGAAAGTACTGAAATAGTTGGAGCAATATCCAATCTCGCTCTCTTACTCAGAAATAATCCTTTGGCAATGAATGTATGAAATGTTTCACGTTTCTCATCATCCAATTTTTCTCCTTTTCCGTTTGATAACAAATCATTACTTGCTGGTGTCTTACACCCTTCATTTTCCTTGAACTTCACAGGAAATTCATTCAACATGGCTTGCGGCAATGGATGCCAAACCGAACCAGGGCCCACCCGGTCTCTTCCAAATGGTCCTACCAGGTCCGATCAATGGCTTCTACGTGTTTGTGGTGCGCCAAAAGTTTGCCTCATTGGCACAGGAGGTTCTCAAGAACCTGGCTGCCTTCCTTATCTCTCACCTTGAGCTCTGGCAAGATCTGAAGCACCAGAGGAAGACCTGCCACACTTGGCTCTGCTTGGACCACTACAACCGAACGGTTACCAACGCTATGACCTGGGATCAAACCCAACATTGGGCACTCTCTGAGTATGAGAGGGACGTAGATTTGGACCAGCAAGTGGAAAAGGACGATAATGAGTGGATTGAGAAGCTCCTTGCAGCGGAGCAGGCTTCTCCGGAATTTGAGGGCACCATCACGATTGACCTTTCGATGCCAGCTGCAAAGGATATGGATGATGGGGCTACGGTAGGAAGCGCGGCAAATATGGCAGCACTATTGGAGAACATGAAAGCGGATGTCAACAACCTTTGCACGGAACTAGAGACTGCGGCGGAAAAACTGGCTCAAGCTAAGGATGCGGAGGCTGCCAAGGACGCTCGTATCCTTGAACTGGAGGCCAAAATGGCGGAACAAGCATCGGTAACAGGCAAGCACCGTTCGTCAAGCCCCTCTTCCAGCAAGGCAACATCATCGGCTGACAGTGGGGGTGGCCCCCCCGGCGGTGGTCCCTAACCACCAACGGTCCCGTCACGCAAGGTTGCGGCGTTTGACGGAAGGCCGAGGTCGAAATCTACGCAACCAACACACATCCAGCCAGGTGGCCCACTCCTCGCTGGA